ATTAATAGCTGATGTCAAAGGAAAAGGAGATTTCTCTGAGGATTTAGTGTTAATACATTGAGAGCTGGGAACAAAGCTGAGTGATAGGGCACTTGCCTAGCATGCATGAGGTTCTGGGTTTGATCCCCAGCACCGTAGGGGAAAAGAAAAAGAATAATAACCAAAAAGCCCTGATATTTTACATGAAATAGTCTAGTATAAGTACTTGAGGCAAGACAATAGCAAAATAAAATGCTAACAAAAATGTGTTTCAGATGGCAGGTTCTCATCTGTTTTTAGAACTTGCCTGTTCTATGTGTTCTTTTGTGAGCATTCGCTTTTGTCTCCTTTGAACTGAGAGCTCACCTGAATTTTAAACCATTCATTTCTAAAAATTTCCATCAGTGGTAAGGGAGAAGATAAAGAATCTTCTTTGACATGAAGGATGCTTGGACTCTGTTGTTTACTGACCAGGGGTTAAAGACTTCTTCTCAGAACTCCGAAAATAGAATTTGAGAGTTACACTTAAGAGTTGCTACACATAGGCTCTTTGGTTGCCTAAAATAAATTCCTGCTATTTGACACAAGGTAGCTTCTCATTTTAACTAGATTAGATTAGTTCTCTCTCACATCATTTTTGTAAATTTTTTGAAATATACTAGTTCATTATGAAAATTAAGGTTATACAAATGTTCCTTGATGTTTGCTGCCTAGTTGAGACTGTAAATTCCTTTCTACTGCACATCTGTTTTGTACTAGAATCTGGGCAAGATGTACTAAGGAGATGCCAATGAGGTGTTAACCCAGTAAATAAACAAATAGTAGGAGAATTGGTCTCTTGAGAATCAACATTCTAGGTTAAAGACATAATTACATATACATAAATGCATATATAGAATAAAAGAAATAGAAACAAATACAGGTTATATAGCAGTGTGTGTGTATTATCATCATGTAGCATTTTAGAACTGAAGAGTAATTTGCATATTGTCATCATTTTCTGGATGAGAAAAATGAGGGCCAGAAAATATAAATGACTTGTCCAAAATAATAGTTACTATCAACAACAAACATTTTATTAGATATTTTCTCTTTTAAAAGTTAGGCCTCAGGTGTGGAGTTAGAAGTCATCAAGAACTTAATAATTAGTTGTGAGTACCGAATATTTACATAAGAGATAAACAATAGGGCTGGGGATGTGGCTCAAGCAGTGGCGTGCTCGCCTAGCATGCGTGTAGCCTGGATTTGATCCTCAGCACCACATACAAACAGAGATGTTGTGTCTGCCGAAAACTAAAAATAAATATTAAAATTCTCTCTCTCTCTCTCTCTTTAAAAAAAAAAGAGAGAGAGAGAAACAGTAATATGAAAAATCATGGGTACTAAATACCAATATAATCATGTAGAATTATGTACAAGATTAGAGATTATAGTTTCCCTAATGAAGAAAGGAAAAGAGATTTCAAAAGAAATAGATTTTGATAATTGATTATTGTGGAAAAGGGCTAGGTAAGGATAGTATACACGTTTTCAAATGAATTATAGCTATAGGGGAACTGAGATTACTTGGTTTCTGATGCATCTCTACAAAGGGGTACTTTGGTGGGACTCTTTCTTTGTACAGCATAAAATCTAGTCCAACTTTTCTAGTTAGTACTGAATTCAGAGAGTTTAAGTAACTAGTTTATGTTTGCATGCTTAGTAAGTGGTAGAACTTAGTGTAGAGCCATTCTTTTTACTGTCATTCAGGGTTCTTTGTCCTATTTCTTATTGCTTAAGGGGATATGGGTCAAGTGGTTAAAACACAGTGCAAGAGCCTGGGAAATGAAATGGGAAGTTGAAGACCACATTATGATGAGGTTTAACCACAAGCTGTTTCAGTTCTCTATAGGTTTTCCATATATTTAGACATTGAATGTGTATACTTATGTTTATAATGCTCATAATGCAACAGTGGTCTGGGTTTCTTAGAGCTTTCTTCTGAGATTTAGTTCTGTGTATTCAAGGGAAAGATTCCTTCCAGTTTGGGATTTCAGTACATATTCTCTTTGACTTCCAGTTTCTCCTTTGCAAGTGGATTAACAATTTATAGGTTAAGTCTTTTTGGATCATTAGCCTTTTTTGGAGTAAAGGAAGGGAAGACAGTTTTGGACTCAGATCTTCCAGACTTATTTACCTGTCAATAGTTAAGAACAATTTACTTAAAATAAATTTTATTATCTGAGGAGAGTAAGTACTGTGAACCAATTGTGAACCTATTTTTGTTAATAGGTTCAATACCCTTCTAAAAATCCTTTGTAATATGTAGTTAGTTTAACATGTAGTTACTACTCCTTCTTATCCCTCTTTTCTTTTTGGCCAGGCTTTTATGTGGTAAGAGACACTTGAGGATTCAAAATAGCATTTTCTGAATCAACTAACATTTATTATGCTCCTATTGAGGGCCTGTTCCTGTGTTGAATATTTAGTAAACACTAAATATTGCCGAATTTTAAGATTAGGTCCCTAATAGTAAACATATTCTAATGCTTGGCTTCTATAACCCTTATCCCATCTTATTCTTTGTTATGGCTGTTTCTGTTACTTCTGACCTGGAGTAAAGGGAGCAAAACTTTACTATTTAATTCCAGGACCAACCCTGAGTTATACTATGTGCTTTATATAGAACCTCATTTAAATACTTGTCACAATTCCATAAGATATTGTTATACCCACTTACAGATTAGTTCATTCAAAATATTTATTACTATGGCTCACTACTATTTATGATTTATGTTTAAGGTGCCAAGGATATCATAGTGAATGTCAGATGAGGTTTCTGCTAAGGCATAGAGAAGTTAAATAACAGCCAAGGTTACAAGCAAAAAAGTGATAGAAGATTTAGATATAGCTCTGATGGATTCCAAAGGGAATGCTGGTAACTATTATTATATTATGTTACCATTTACATATATTGCATGTTCTCTGTAAATATATAAATAAGTCATAAAAATTGGTGGAACCCACAGTAATTCTTTATTTAAAAGGTTCATGATGAGTGCAAGAAAACTGGTGTGGTGCAGTCGAAGCATACCTACCCAGGGATACTTTTCCTCCTTCCTACTTCTTTTTCTCCATTCCCTCTCTACCCCCTCATACCTGGGTATAAACTGGGCAGTGTGACCTGCTTGGCATTTGGATGAGTTTGTGTTTTGAGGACTGTTTGTTTCCTTGACTTCCTGTAAGTTCCTTGCCCACTCACAAGTTTTTTCTTGTAGCACAATGGTGAGTAATGTGTTGTTAACATTGTAATGTTGTCATGCCAGTTGGAATGTGTTTTTTTTTTTCTTTTCCTGAGTTCTTTTTGATGAGTATATAAATGGGGACACTTGGGTAAGACTTGGCTTCTGCAGTTTATTCAAATAGCAAAACTTTCTGTTTTCAGAATTCTAGAAAAGAAGTTTTGTGTATGTGTGTGTGTGTGTGTTTCTGGGGATTGAACCTAGGATTCTGTACTACTGAGCTACATATCCAGCCCTTTTTATGTTTTATTTTGAGACAGGGTCTCACTAGGTTGCTGAGACTAGCCTTGAACTTGTGATCCTCCTGTCTCAGTTTATCAAGTTGCTGGCATTCCAGGCATGCACTGCCCCTCCTGGCTAGAAAAGAATTTTGAGGTTCAGAAGAATATAAAAATTTAGTATCTTCTGCCTAGCTGAAATCAGTTTTGTTAGCATTCTAAGTTTATTCTTTAGCTTGTGTTATCAAAGAGGGTGCTTACTTATTTTAGATTATGGCCATTATCACCACATGCCTACCTGAGATGGGTGGTATTTTATTCTGGAGTTAGCAGTTAGAATCAGGAAGAAGGATTTCTTTTTGAGCATTACCTAGAAGAAAGCTTTAACAAATGCTTAGGCACTAAGAGGGAGGAGCTGAATTCCAATAGGAATTGAATTCCAATTGAGTTCTAGAGATTAATTAGGTGGGATCAAAGTTGCAAGTATTAGAACTATTTGGTACTTGGGGTCCAGTCCGTTTAGTATTGGGGATCCAGGAATATCTGGGCATAGCTCATGAGATTCATGATGATTTATGTACATGTGTCTAACTTATACATAATGTATGATACTTGATAGGTACACAGTAAATGTTGGTTAAATCTTAAAAAGGTACTTGAATGCTGAATGTTGTCAGTTTGTCTTCCTAGGATGGCTTCCTTGTAGTACAGTCTTCCCTTTTTTTTTTTTTTTGAGAAGTGGGGGGTCTCACTATGTTGCTCATACTGGTGTGTCCAGTTCCTGGGCTAAAACCACCCTCTGCCTCAGCCTCCCTCCTAAGTAGCTGGGACTGCAGGTGTGGTTCATCCCTCTCAGCTAAGTATTTCTTCTTTGGAAAGATGTTTATTAAGCATTTAGCTTTGAGTAAAGCATTTGGCAAAGTAATTGGGTAACAAAGATTTTTAATATTAGATTCTTACAGAGATTATAATATTAACTTTACAGATTGAATCAATTAAACCTCTTATTTAAGTGCATTATTTAAGGGTACACTTGTGGCTTTGATAAAGTCAGTCATATGATTTTTTGACAGAAGTAACTTCTTGACCCTTTGGTTCTGGTTAAGCTGGGTTTGATTTTTGATGTTTGAGATAGTTGCCTATGTTATTTCCTTTTATCCCCTCTCCATTTTTTTTTTTCAGTGAATGAGCTAATATATTTGAAAGTATTTTGTGAATTGCAAAGCAAACAGTTGTTGCTGTCACTACTACCACCACTGAAAATAATAATGTGATACAACTCATTCTTAGAAGGGTTTGTTTCTTGGATTAATTTCAAGGAGAAAGACTCAGAGGGCAATGAAGTATTTGCCAGATGACTAATGTACTTTTGTATTTTTCATGAAAGGGAGAACGAAAAGCAAAGACCTGTCATTCTAACTTGTCCTGGTGCTATGTCATTGTGAAGGTTACTTATACTATTTTGACCCAGTCTGTATGATGTAAGAAAGTTTAACAGGATTTGTCATTCTTTACTTTTGAGGCTTAGAGTTATTCTGCTGGAAGCGTCTGTCGACATAGGCGATAACTCCTCCCAATTTCAGGGTAAGATTATTCACATTCCTATAATATGGATCTTTTATAATAGATAATTATAAAATGTATTAGTCCAGATCAGTATCTGTACGGACTTCCCTTTGGTAAGATTAAGGAAACAGTGCCTTTGACTAAAATATTTGCTTGAGTGTTGTCATCAAAAGATTTTACAAGTCAGCTGTGGTGGTGCTTGCCTGTAATCCCAGCAACTCAGGAAGTTAAGGCAGGAGAATCACAAGTTCCAGGCCAGTCTCAGTTATTTAGGGAGATCCTGTTTCAAAATAAACATTTAAAAAAAAAAAAAGAGGAAGCTGGGGATGTAATTTATGGTAGAGCCCCCCTGATTTAAATCCCCAATACCAAAAGGAAAAAAAAAGCAAAAAGACTTTGCAGTCAAATTGGGCATGGTGTATTCCCAGGTACTTGGGAGCCTTTGCCAGGAGAATCACAAATTGGAAGCCAGCCTTGACAATTTAGTAAGACCCTATCTCAAATTAAAAATAAAAAGGGCTAGGGGATATAGTTTAAGTGGTAGAACATTCCTGGGTTCAATCCCCAGCATTGCCGGCCTCCCCCCACTCCCCTTGCAAAAAGAAAAAAAAAAAAGCCCACCACCAAACTACTGTAATGTCTTTTTAAATTTATTTCTTTTTAGAAAGAGTGAGAGAGAGAATTTTTTAATGTCTATTTTTTAGTTTTCAGCGGACACAACATCTTTGTATGTGGTTCGAGGATTGAACCCGGGCCACTCGCATGCCAGGTGAGCGGGCTACCACTTGAGCCACATCCCCAGCCCTTAAATTTATTTCTTATACTGCGGATTAAACTCAGAGGTGCTTAACCACTGAGCCACATCCCCAGCCCTTTTATTTAGAAACAGGGTCTTGCTGAGTTGTTTAGGGCCTCAATAAGTTGCTGAGGCTGGCTTTCAACTCGAGATCCTCCTGTCTCAGCCTCCCTCCCTGGAGCTGCTGGAATTACAGGTGTGCATCACTGTGCTTGGCCGTATTGTCATCATCTTCTAATGATTACCATTCTTGGTGAGGAATGTATGATTTTAATAATCAAAAAATGTAGAGATGTTTACTAAATTTTGAAAAGACCTCTCTTACCTTATACGATTTCTTCATGTTTTTCTGACTCTGGTTCCTGGTACGAAGTATATCTTTGTTGAAGAAAGGAAGTTAGTTGATACCTATCTTGAGGTTTTCCTGTAACCAGCCTAATAGATGAACTTCTAGAAAGCAGGGATGATGGGTCCTTAATAAGTGCTATTTGAACAATTATGTTAGGAGGTTAAATTTTCATCCAGGATGGCGGTGCCTGGGTCCCACTATGCTAAAGGTGGCTCTTCCTGAAAAGAAGAGGAATGTTACTTTTCCACAGATAAACTTGAATAAATGTGAATGTAGGAAAAATTATTGCTTTGATGTTTTTGATTTTTATACTTTTGGGTAAGAAAAGTTCTATGTTAAAAATTAAAGAAAGGCAATTAAAATAATAATAAAAATTAAAATGATAATATTTCTCTTGGTTTTATTTTATGTTCAAACTTCAGCTATAGCAATGACTTTTGAATAATGTATGAGAAGTATATTATAGCTTTGCATTATCAATAGTATGTGAAACATAATTGTCTCACTCCTTTGCTGTGAAACTTCAGACTTTAGGGATATAATGTTGTAGAATACATCTAAATCCATTTTATATCTAAAGTGGTGATGAGCAAAAAAAAAGATGATTTGATTTTGGCATCCCTTCATGATTTTCTTTATAGATGATTTCCTTTCTTGAAACTGTTTTGCTCAAATGATTGAATTTCCTAAGTACACATCATTTTCTTTGGTACATACTTGCAGAAGTAAGAGATTTAGCTGAGTGGTAGGGAGAAAGGCAGTTTTTATGGATAAATTACAAAATGGATTATGTGTGGAAAATTGAGAGCTAGTGATAGAGGTGCAGTCAAATAAATGGAATGGGAGACATCAACTTTATTTTCTATACCTAGTTTTACCACTAGTTAACTCTGTGACTTTGGACAAATCTCATTTGCCTGGTTTGTATGTTCTTGTCATCTGCAACTTGAGGGCATGGAATGAAATGCTCTCTGACATTCTAGTTCTGAAAGTATGATTCCAAAGTGCCACACCAGGAAAACCGACTGTTTTCTATACCTTCCCACCAAGTTTGTTCCACATAATACTTGAATGTGAAATGTTAATTATGTAAATAATAGAAGTGTATATTGTATGTTCTTGGGTAGACTGGAATTGTCAGATGGTATGAATGCTCATAAATAATTTTAGGTGTAGAAATATAAGAGACTTGGTTGTTTCTGAAAGAAAAAAAAATATTACTAGTGCTTTGGATACCCTGGGGTAGAGTTTGTGCTTTTGAACTCCAAGCTGAAAAAAATGTGTAAATCTGTGGGATTGGCAGGGGGTGGGTAGGAAGGATGGTAATGGCTAGGGGACAGTGTGGATGAGTATGTACAGTGTTTTTAAAAGCAAAATATTAGGAGTTTTCTTTAGCCTGTAGGGTAATCATTTATACCAAATTTAGAACTGATATGAACTCTGTGTCAGAGTCAGAATACCTAGGTTCAACTTCCTTGCTCTCTGAGTATCATATAGGCTTTATGAATTTCTCTGTGTGTATGTTTTTTTTTTTTTTTTTAGAGAGAGAGAGAATTTTAATATTTATTCTTTAGTTTTCGGCGGACACAACATCTTTGTTTGTATGTGGTACTGAGGATCGAACCCGGGCGGCATGCATGCCAGGCGAGCGCGCTACCACTTGAGCCACATCCCCAGCCCTCTGTGTATATGTTTTCTATCAGAAAAGACAGAATTAAAGACCTCAAACAGTATTTAAGTTTTAAATTTTTTGTTTTGAGGCTATTACTTGTCAGAATATTTTAAAACCAAAAATAACAACAGAAGAGAAGATACGTAGTGATCAGACAGCTAGCTGTGCAAATATTTTACATTTGTTCTTATAGACCTTGATTATACAGATGGGTGGGGCAGATCTGAAACCACTAAATATTTGAAACCAGTAAGTAATTCACAAGCCTGTTTTAGGTATAGGTAGTTCTCAGTTAACCACTCACATGGACTAGCATGAATAATTTAGGACCCTAAACATTTGTTCTGCTATGTACTAAGCAATGTGTTAGGCCTGTTTACAGTTTTTTAAAGTATAAAAGAAAGGAGCCAACATCAAGTAACTTCTCCTACCCATCCTTAAAGACTGAGCTAAAAATTTGAGAAGCTTCCCTAATTGGTCCTAGTGAAGTTCCTTTCTCTGCCCCAGTAGACTTATGTTTATATTTCTCCTACCAGACCAGATTGCCTTAATGATAAGAAGGACTGTAGTCTCTCTCTTTTATTTGCCTCCCGAAGCCCTGGGGCAATATCTAATAGATGGTAGACCAATTTGGCAAATTTTGATAATCAAATTGGAGCATTAAGGTATGAGAGTCCCAAAGGCCAATTTATAAACAGCATGCAGTAGCAAATGCCAAGTAGATGTTTTACATATTGGACTTGTAGGAGTTCAAATAAGCCTTTAGGTATCCCAGCAATGATGGAACTGTGGAACTTAAAGGTGGAAATTTTAATAATAAATAATCATAGTAATAAAAATCTTTCTTTGAATTGAATTATATATTTTATAAAAGGCAAATTTCTTTTTTCTAATTTAGGTTTTTAAAAAATTTGTCAGTAGTCATATGCTGAGGGAAATGAATTTACCAAAAGAAATTTATAAAGTGAATTAATTTCCTTTGGATAAGTAAGAACAGATTGTATAGTAATTTGAAGTTCTGGGTTTTTTTTTTTTTCCTGATTTCTCCCCTTGCATAAAAATACTGTAATTGACAGTGAAATAACCAGTGGTTAGGAATCGAGCAGGCAGAAAAGGTTGCCAATTACTGAATGTTTGAGGATTGGTTCCGGAGAAATAGTGTGTTTTTCTATTAGTCTAGCCTCTGTTGGTTTGTAGTTTCATCTTTTTTCTTTTTGTGTCAAAAATTCAGTAATTAGAATCTTTAAAGTCTCAAGTAGAACTTTTGTTTTTGCAGATAGATATTCTTAGAAAAGTTGAATTTATTGAGAACACAAACATGGACTATAATTAGCCCTAACTGAAAAGAAAAAGAAGAAATTCAGTGTTTGTGGAAAATAGACAAGCTGGTCTGGATCTAAAAAAAATAAACATTAACATGATTTCTGTTTCTTTTCAAGCTACTGTTGTGCCAATATTATAATAACAAACGAATTTCTCTATGATAACTCTTCCTGCCCCTATTTTTCCAAAGGTCACTGCCATTGTAGAAACCTTCCAAATTATTAAATTTCTCAAATAACTGTAATCCAAGCAAGATTTTTATCAGTGTCACTGAACTGACAAATTCCAGTTGACAAGTACTCTGAACCATTCCAAGAGCCCCTTTAAGATGCTTTATTGAAGATTTGCATTGAAAGACGTGAATGGGAATGCTAGACTGAGCATTATTTGTATGTTAAGACTGTACTATGAAAATGGTTGTAGGGCCAGATGCTGTGGCATAAGCCTGCAATCCCAGTGACTTGGGAAGCTGAGGCAGGAGGATTGTAAGTTCAAGACCAGGCTCAGCAGTTAAGTGAGGCCCTGTCTCAAAAAATGAAAAAAAGGACTGGGGATGTGGTTAAATACCCTAGTTTCAGTCCTTGGTACGGGGATGGGGGGGGTGGGGGGGTGGGGGGTGGGCAGGGGTAGAAAAGAAAATGGAAAATGGTTTGTTTGGGAGTGGTAGAGAAACTCTGGATACAGAGTGCTTGCCTAGCATATGTGAGACCCCCAGCAACACACACACACACACACACACACACACACACACACACACACAAAGAAAGCTATAGGGAGCTGTGTTGGCACCAGTGGAATGAAGCAGAGTATGTGGGAAGAATGAGTGGAAAAAGAAGCAGCTGACATTTTTGAGGACTTATTGTAATATATATTTTTAG